TGAGTTGTACCAATATAATAAGATGTAATGATACAATAAGCTGTAATAATACAATAAGCTGTAATAATACACTGAGCTTTAATAATACGCTGAGCTGTAACAATACAATATCTGTAATGATACAATAAGCTGTAATAATACAATGAGCTAAACCAATACAATAAGCTGTAATAATATTCTGAGCTGTAACAATACAATAAGGTGTAACAATACACCGAGCTATAATAATACAATACACTGTAATAATACAATAAGCTATAATAATACAATAAACTGCAATAATACAATGATCTGTAATAATACAATAAGCTGTAATAATACAATGAGCTGTAATAATATAATAAGCTTTAATAATATGCTGAGCTATAATAATGCACTGAGCTGTAATAATACGCTGAGCTGTAACAATAAAATAAGCTGTAATGATACAATGAGCTGTAATAATACAATGAGCTATAATAATACAGTGAGATGGAATAATAAAATGAGCATATTATAATAAGATGTAATAATATGCTGAGCTGTAATGATACAATAAGCTGTAATAATACATTGAGCTGTAATAATATAATAATCTGTAATAATACGCTGAGCTGTAAGAATACAATAAGCTGTAATAATACTCTGAGCTATAATAATACACTGAGCTTTAATAATACGCTGAGCTGTTTTAATACAATAAGCTATAATGATACAATAAGCTGTAATGATACAATAAGCTGTAATAATAGAATGAGCTTTAATAATACAATAAGCTATAATAATACAATGGGCTTTTATAATACACAATATACTGAGCTGCAATAATACCATAAGCTGAAATAATACAATGTGCTTTAATAATACAAAGTGCTGTAATAATACGCTGAGCTGTAGTGATACAATAAGCTGCAATAATATAATAAGCTGTAATAATTCACTTAGCTGTAACAATACAATAAGCTATAATAATACAATGAGCTTTTATAATACAAAATATTGTGAGCAGTAATAATACAAAAAGATGTCATATTATAAGCTGTAATAATACAATAAGCTATAATAATACAATGAGCGGTAATGATACAATAAGCTGTAATAATACAATGAACTAAACCAATACAATGAGCTGTAATAATACAATACGCTGTAATAATACAATAAACTATAATAATGCAATGAGCTGTAATAAAACGCTGAGTTGTAACAATATAATAAGCTGTAATAATACAATAAGCTGTAACAATACACTGTGCTGTAATGATACAATAAGCTGTAATAATACAATGAGCTAAACCAATACAATGAGCTGTAATAATACAATAAGCTTTAATAATACACTGAGCTTTAATAATACGCTGAGCTGTAACAATACAATATCTGTAATAATACAATAAGCTGTAATTATACACTGAGCTGTAATGATACAATAAGCTGTAATAATACAATGAGCTAAACCAATACAATGAGCTGTAATAATATGCTGCGCTGTAACAATACAATAAGCTGTAACAATACACTGAGCTATCTTGCATACCTTGCATACCTTGTACGTTAGTCGATTATGGACTCCAGCAGGTCAACACTTCTCGAACTAGGGCAGCTGGGGCTATCTATGACTTATAAGTCTCTCATCACTCCCTCAATACCATATCTCACAATTGTATACTCTCAACAAAGCACAGTTTAAACAAATCACGCTGAGATGCCCAGCTCGTTAGATAAGGTTGGGAAGCCTTTACTTACCCTGATACACTCATAAAACAAGCTTGATGAACCCAACGCGATCCACCACTATAGACATATAAAGTCAGCCTGTATAAGCTTGTCTTATTGTGACAGAACCATCTGTCTGCTTGGATTTTTTACTGCATTCGTCTGTTTGTCCCCCGTTCGTATGAATGGCTGGTTTCTATAGCCCAGCCATTCGAATGACTCTTTTTCCCGAACAAACCTGCCGAACGAACGGCCACCCAAGGGAGGAGTGTGCTGCTGGTTAACAAAGTGATCCCAATTAGAACGTTGTGGTTAACCGCAGACACTACTCAATTAAATCGTATGTCGACCACGAGGCAGCGGCCATTTTAAATCAAGCGAACGCCCAGCGGTGTTTGGCTCTATTTCTATGGAACTGAAAACGGACACTTTTTCTGCCGAACACCGCTGAAACAACGGAACGCCTGGCTGCCTCCACGAAACCATGCGAACACCGGCCGTTCGGGAGATTGAGAGCATACGAAAAGACTTAACCCAGATAGCCTTCCCATGGAGTCATTCGTATACCGAAAGACTGTAAGAACTTTGACTCCATGGCGATTGAACTATGTGTGTGGGATCTGAGCGCTATTCGCTAATAATATGCACTCAGATCCAGGCTATCTGGGGACATGTAATACGAATGGGAAATGTTCAGTTTTTATGTAGTTATATATTTTTATATCTTTTATTATTTTATGTCTAAGATGGTGACTGGCTTTGTCCTGGAGTTAATTGAGTTACTTGGTAATTAACTCCAGGGCAGAGGGGAGGGAATCATAATGCACTGTGGGTAAAATCTGTGACTGTGTGTCTGGAATGTCCCCATATCTGTCTGTAATTTAAGTCTCCCATTTGGTCCCCTAGGGGAGTGTCCACCAGGTGGGAGACCTGCATAAATACGGGCAGGTAGCCCACAGTAAAGCCAGATCCTGTTTGACCCTCAATGCGGAGCTTCTGTCTCATTATTGGGGGGATTTCTTCTTCACGTTTAGAGACTGCTGGATGGAACGAAAGCCGCTTGGGGAATATTGCTGTTCGACGGTTACCAGCAGTTCGTGTATTGTCGTTCGGGAGTTTGGAGCCGTTCACGGATCTCGATCGGGAGATTGCCGCTTCCCCTGCATTTGGTTCTGCAGATGGGTTGTCACGACAAACAGACGTTTCCCTCACCTCGTAGTCCAGTCATCCCCAAGTTGACCCGCCACAGGGTCAAGCCGGGTCTGCCGGAGTGTCCCACAAGGAGGGAGCCGTGTGACAGAACCATCTGTCTGCTTGGATTTTTACTGCATTCGTCTGTTTGTCCCCCGTTCGTATGAATGGCTGGTTTCTATAGCCCAGCCATTCGAATGACTCTTTTTCCCGAACAAACCTGCCGAACGAACGGCCACCCAAGTGAGGAGTGTGCTGCTGGTTAACAAAGTGATCCCAATTAGAACGTTGTGGTTAACCGCAGACACTTCTCAATTAAACCGAATTCAGGGTGGTCGTCGTTCGTATGTCGACCACGAGGCAGCGGCCATTTTAAATCAAGCGAACGCCCAGCGGTGTTTGGCTCTATTTCTATGGAACTGAAAACGGACACTTTTTCTGCCGAACACCGCTGAAACAACGGAACGCCTGGCTGCCTCCACGAAAGCATGCGAACACCGGCCGTTCGGGAGATTTAGAGCATACGAAAAGACTTAACCCAGATAGCCTTCCCATGGAGTCATTCGTATACCGAAAGACTGTAAGAACTTTGACTCCATGGCGATTGAACTATGTGTGTGGGATCTGAGCGCTATTCGCTAATAATATGCACTCAGATCCAGGCTATCTGGGGATAGGTGATACGAATGGGAAATGTTCGGTTTTTGTGTAGTTATATATTTTTATGTCTTTTATTATTTTATGTCTAAGATGGCGACTGGCTTTGTCCTGGAGTTAATTGAGTTACTTGGTAATTAACTCCAGGGCAGAGGGGAGGGAATCATAATGCACTGTGGGTAAAATCTGTGACTGTGTGTCTGGAATGTCCCCATATCTGTCTGTCATTTAAGTCTCCCATTTGGTCCCCTAGGGGAGTGTCCACCAAGTGGGAGACCTGCATAAATACGGGCAGGTAGCCCACAGTAAAGCCAGATCCTGTTTGACCCTCAATGCGGAGCTTCTGTCTCGTTATTGGGGGGATTTCTTCTTCACGTTTAGAGACTGCTGGATGGAACGAAAGCCGCTTGGGGAATATTGCTGTTCGACGGTTACCAGCAGTTCGTGTATTGCCGTTCGGGAGTTTGGAGCCGTTCACGGATCTCGATCGGGAGATTGCCGCTTCCCCTGCATTTGGTTCGTGTGTTACAGAGTAAGCGAACGGAGACTGTACTGCAGCCGGGGAAGATCTACTAAACGGCGGTTTGGCTTAAAGACACTAGAGGTGTCTTAACACTTATAAACTATATAAAACTGTGCCTTTCTATGAATGCCACGCAAATGTTGAAATTATGCCCGTTTTTCAAATTGCCTGCGACTGCTGTTGTGGCATTGCAAGCATGTTTCTTTTAGCTCATGCACAAAAAAAATAAAGAATTTAAAAAAAACAAGAACAAACTGTGATCACCTTCTCACTAAGCTGCTTGGCGATGGTCTTGTAGCCTATTCCAGCCTTGTGTAGGTCTACAATCTTGTCCCTGACATCCTTGGACCTCTTCTATGGAACTCACTTCCCTCCTCCGTAAGAATTTCACCCAGTCTCCACTCCTTCAAAAAATCATTGAAAACTCACTTCTTCAAGAAAGCATATCAATTAAAGTGTTAGCGGGTTTTTATCCCCCACCGCCCATGACTCCTCTCCTGCAACTGTCAAAAATAACCAGAGTTCTCAGTGAATACGTTTCTAGCAACCTTTATCATTACCCCTACTTATTACTTATACCCTTTGTGTCAGTAAACCCCACTCCCTCTAGTTATTATTACGGCTTATTGTATCATTACAGCTCAGCATATTATTACAGCTCATTTTATCATTACAGCTTATTGTATTATTCCAGCTCATTGTATTATTTCAGCTTATTGTATTATTGCAGCTTATTATAATATGACATCATACAATAATATAAATTGAAGGGGTAAATTTAGATTTAGCAGTTTTTCCTGATGATATTATAAATAGATATTAGATATGTATATGAAAGGGGTGTATACATGGCAATATGGCTAAGGGCCAGTGTCACAGCAGGCGTTATCAGAAGAGGCCTCACAGGGTACGCGGCAGTATGTGTGCACCCAGCCAAACATGGACTTTGGAAGCTGATTATTCCGGCCTTGATTCCCTCTGATAAACCCTGTTTACTTAGAGTCACTTTTTTTCCAAAACTTCATTCTGACTGTGTCCACCGTTTAAAGCATTTATCCACATTGACCTTTACTAATGGCTATGAGATCTTTAATTAACGGAAAACAGTAATTGGACGCAGCTGCTAATTGTTTAGAGAATGCCCTTGGGTGTGCAATCACTTACTGAAAGTGCTCGGTTTTCATGGCGATGTGTTAGCGAACAGCTTGCGTCCACAACTGTTTGGATACTCACACACAAACAGGAATTCGGAATTATAGCAAAATCTATTCAAACACAGGTAATCCTACTCGGCTTTAGTCAACCTTCGTTTTGCCATTTTGAATAACTTTGGAAAAACATCCTGCATTTTGGCTTCGCTAGGGAATAAATCTCAGCGCATTAAGCCAGGGGAATTCGGTTGTAGACTTGCGCGTTCTGTTACCGATGAAGGACGATTCGTCTAAATTCCGGATCTCAATAAACACTGTGCGGATAAATCATTAAACAAATCGAACAGACAATGGGCGAACAGTTTAGTTTGATTCGTGATTCTGAGTTCTGTCTGCAGCGCAAAAAAACCCCAATGATTGATGGAAAACCCTGTTTGATGGTTAGCGGACTGTCACTAAATGTTGTTCTTATTCACAGAGCAAGTGAGAAGTAACCAACAGGGGGGGGAACAGGAGGAGCAGTAACAATGATATATATAGACAGACAATACCGGAAAACACAGCCAACAGCGAGACATTTCGTATTCAGTTATTGGAGCCTAAAAATTGAAATTACTTTGAATTTCCAGCAAGTTACCCTTTAGAAAATAAGCCGGATGGTTCAAATGACTCTAATCCCCACGATTTCTCCATTTTGGTATAATGGAACTTTTCAGATATTTCGTGTCTGATTTTAAAGAGACACTCCACACCCTTAATGCACTTTAACTTTCTGAAATGCTTTATATGTAAAGAGTGTGTCTGCTTTTTCTTGCTGTGCTTGCGAAGTATAAATCCGTACCTGCCCTAAATATATATATATATATGAAACATATTGTAAGTGTCAGGGAATTCTGAAATGTAACACAAGGCAAGAATGGAGGGAGCCAGACTGGAGGCCGTGAATGTTCAGTTACACTGTCCCTTTAACTTGATGTTTTTATACATATTTTTATTTGACCTAGTGAATTAAATACAATAGTAATAGGCTAGTTGTAGATGGAAGCAGCACATATTATCTGTGTTCACAATGTCTCCATCTGTGAGCAGAATGCATGGAAAAATATCTGGGGGTCACTTTAAACTGGTATTTAATGTTTAATACGTTTTATCAATGTGTTGGACGGAAACACTCGACACAGGTTCCAATTGTCCCACCTGATCTCCCTGCATTTATATAGAGGTTCAGCTGGCAGACAGGTGGCAATAGCTGCAGTACCCAGTGCAGGGGTAATCGCTGCTGTACCCCGTGCATGGGGTAATAGCTGCTGTACCCAGTGCATGGGGTAATAGTGGCTGTACCCAGTGCATGTGGTAATAGCTGCTGTGCCCAGTGCATGGGGTAATAGCGGCTGTACCCAGTGCATGGGGTAATAGTGGCTGTACCCAGTGCATGTGGTAATAGCTGCTGTGCCCAGTGCATGGGGTAATAGCGGCTGTACCCAGTGCAGGGTTAATAGCTGCTGTACCCAGTGCAGGGTTAATAGCTGCTGTACCCAGTACAGGGGTAATAGCTGCTGTACCCAGTGCAGGGTTAATAGCTGCTGTACCCCGTGCATGGGGTAATAGCTGCTGTACCCAGTGCATGGGGTAATAGCGGCTGTACCCAGTGCATGGGGTAATAGCTGCTGTACCCAGTGCCGGGGTAATAGCTGCTGTACCCAGTGCATGGGGTAATAGCGGCTGTACCCAGTGCAGGGGTAATAGCGGCTGTACCCAGTGCAGGGGTAATAGCGGCTGTACCCAGTACAGGGTTAATAGCTGCTGTACCCAGTGCAGGGTTAATAGCTGCTGTACCCAGTGCATGGGGTAATAGCGGCTGTACCCAGTGCATGGGGTAATAGCGGCTGTACCCAGTGCCGGGGTAATAGCTGCTGTACCCAGTGCATGGGGTAATAGCGGCTGTACCCAGTGCAGGGGTAATAGCGGCTGTACCCAGTGCAGGGTTAATAGCTGCTGTACCCAGTACAGGGGTAATAGCTGCTGTACCCAGTGCAGGGGTAATAGCTGCTGTACCCAGTGCATGGGGTAATAGCGGCTGTACCCAGTGCAGGGTTAATAGCTGCTGTACCCAGTGCAGGGGGGATAGCGGCTGTATCCAGTGCAGGGTTAATAGCTGCTGTACCCAGTGCCGGGGTAATAGCGGCTATACCCAGTGCAGGGGGATAGCGGCTGAACCCAGTGCAGGGGTAATAGCGGCTGTACCCAGTGCAGGGTTAATAGCTGCTATACCCAGTGCCGGGGGGATAGCGGCTGTACCCCGTGCAGGGGTAATAGCTGCTGTACCTAGTGCCGGGGTAAGAGCTGCTGTACCCAGTGCTGGGGTAATAGCGGCTGTACCCAGTACAGGGTTAATAGCTGCTGTACCCAGTGCAGGGGTAATAGCGGCTATACCCAGTGCCGGGGTAATAACGGCTGTACCCAGTGCCGGGGTAATAGCTGCTGTACCCAGTGCAGGGTTAATAGCGGCTGTACCCAGTGCAGGGGTAATAGCGGCTATACCCAGTGCCGGGGTAATAGCGGCTGTACCCAGTGCCGGGGTAATAGCTGCTGTACCCAGTGCAGGGTTAATAGCGGCTGTACCCAGTGCAGGGGTAATAACTGCTGTACCCAGTGCCGGGGTAATAACTGCTGTGCCCAGTGCCTTGCTGGGCAGTGATGCCAAGCTATAGTATTACATGAGTGGATATTCAAAGCTCTCGGCACAGAAAGTGTTAAAGGAAATTTGGCATGGGGTCTCCTGCCATCAAAATGCAGGTTTTATGGAGAAGGCTTGAGATCCAAATCTTAAATATGTAAATAACGCGTCTGCCTGGTAAATTGCGCTTCTCACCCTTAGCTGTAAAATTAAACCCTGCCAGCATTTCATCACAGGGAATGAAATCATTTTAAATGGTACTAGTTTTTGTGAAAGTATTTTACATATTTATGATCTCACATCTCTCTCAAATGTTGAAGAGCAATTTAAAAATCAGAAAAAATAGATGATTTGTCTCTCAGGCTTCCAGGGCCCGTGCTGGGCATTGGGGTGCAAGGGATAAGAACGTAGGGTGCCCAGACCTTCAGTCAAGGCCTGTGACAATTCCTAATTCATGATGTGAGGGTGATATCTGCCACTTGGCACAAGTCCTGCTGGTTTTGCAGAATTCAGCAGTTTGCAAAAAAATTTACAATTTAACAGCAGATATGAGCTACAAGACACTTTACTAAATAAAAAAATATTTTACAATATTATTAGTATCTACCAGCCTGGCTGTAAAATGCCATTTTCAGCATCTCTGCATCCACGCCCTCTTAATACTTACCAGAAAAGTTACCTTCTATAACTGTAGCTGGGAATAAGATCCCATACATCCACTACCTTCTCAGCAGCATCAAAATTAATCAAAATTCTGTGCTTTATTACCGGGCTAGTCATCGCCGGGTCAGACATCCCTGGGCCCGTCATTGCCAGGTTAGTCATCGTAGGGTCAGTCTTCACCTGGTCAGTCATCGCCGGGTCAGACATCCCTGGGCCCGTCATCGCAGGGTCAGTCATCGCTTGGTCAGCCATCGCG